AGCCATCTTTAACAAACTCAAAGAGTATGTGGCTATGAATGAATCGATGTCGCCGGGAGTGAGCTTCTTATGGAGTTTGAGCCCGCTGATGAGGCTTTTGGTGTACCGAACTATGCTTTCATTTATCGTAGCACTGCCGATTACCAAAGCTTTAAATTGGTCTGCGGATATCAGCGTTGGAGGTTTAAATGTCAATTGGCCACCTACTCTCTATGGATTTCTAACGCTATTGGGTGTAGTTGTGGGTACCGTAACAAATTATGCTATTGGCCGTAAGGCGGTGAGTCTTATTTCGTTATTATGTGTCGCTGGCTTGACCATCGGTGTTGGTGTTTTCTTTCATGATTCCACATGGCTGATTGATTCCACGCAAATGGCGATTGCCTGCACGCTTCTAATGATTGCACAAATTTTTGGTGGAATATTTGCGCCCAGTACAACAATTTATCTTGGTGAGGCATTTCCGTTGCAATGGAAACGCTGTTTCATCGCTTTTACTGTCTTTGTTCAATATATGGTGGATCTGATCATAGTTTGCACATTCACTTTTGATGGATACAATGAATATATCTTCTGCATCTCTGCTGGCGTAATAATGTTTGCTGGCGTAGTCTTCTTCTCAATCACAATGCCAGAAACACGAAAGGCTACGCTGAGAGAAGCACAAGAAAAATTCTCATATGCACTACACCTGGAATTTTATTGAGATAAATTTAATCAAACGGAAAGCGGAGGGAGTAATGTACATTTCCCTATCGAGTTCAAAACTTATGCCGAATATTCACTAGGCATTGAAATCACAAAAACTTAGTTCCTTTAAAAAACAAATTGATGAAAATTACTTCGAAGTATGCCACCAATATTTTTGTCATTTTATGCCCAGCGGAATGCGGGTATTATACCTACATACATATATAAATCTCGAAATTAAAACACTGTTTTAAAACAGATTCTCATAAAGATTCAATCGCGTGCTCAGATTCGGCGTAAAACTGTAGGTCCCTCCCCTTTGTCTGGCAACATCAACACGCACACCACAAATCGGAGGAGAAGCTCGGCCAACCACTAACGTATTAANAATTTTTCAGGGATCTTGCCCCATTTCACTTAGATTAAACGATCAGAAGGTGTTGTTAACAGTTTGGTCTCTTTTTCTAGGACTCCGTATATATGCTACCGACCGACCTTGAGTTATTTCTGCATTTGTTACTATTACATCAATTTTGAAATTTTGTAAGTACCCAACAAAAAGTAAGATTAGCAAAATTGCAGCTCCCAATCAGCCAGTTGCTATCACCCCGTGAAATCTTTACCAAACAAAATGTATATTTCATCCATGCCTGATTGTTCATCTGTGGCAGAAACGAAGTTACCAGGATTTTTGAATATTCATACCAATATTATTCCCACCAGCTAGCTAAATCCGGATAATTTGTATGGCCCAGTCCGGCCTCATAATAATCTTGCTAAGCGACTAATGAAAGATAGAGATATTTGGTTTAGCAGTCGAAAAATTAAACATCATCGGGATCCGAAACATGGAAGTATATGGCACTAGAACAGCGAAGACGTGCATAGAGAGAGTTTAACCCTGAGTCCATAGACAGATTTAAAATGGCCCTCCCACGGAAGATTATTTTGTCCAGACATTCAGAGTAATATATTTCTCTGATCGCCACTGGTCCAATAACACAAAAAAGCTCAAACAACGGGCGGCCAACAGCTTTATCACTTGACTGATACAACTGCTTTCAGCGATGGCTTCTCTCGAGATAAGGGTTGACAAAGCTCGTCTCCTGTATAGCCACGTTAGAGAAGTTATGGAATTACAAAGAGTCTATACAAAAAAGTAGTACGACGCTCGGCGGTCTGAGAGTGGTAGAAAGTCCTAATTTCAAAATGTGCGGAAATGTCCAATTAAGTGGTTAACTCGATTCTAAACATGTTTACTAACAGGTTTTAAGGCTTTTTCCTGCGAAAAACTTCTCCAGCAATTATCAAAGCACACATGAATTCGGTGCTGTATGAATAGAACTTTTACATAAGAATTTGAATAGCAATTTTGCGGGCTCAGCAGTGTTAGTTGAATGGTCGATTGAAACTGGATTTGTCATCATCTTCAATATGAAGTTCAATATTCAACCTGATTATGGAGACTTTAACAAACGTTACAGAGCAAATAAACTCAGGAACCATTTACCATAAGTGCGTGCAATTGGGTGCGTAGGCCTATGAAATCGATACCATCTGTCAGTTCTCCTGCCTATTCGAAATAATATAGAGAAGTAAAGCTCACTGGTCAACAGAAAGTGCCCATGTCACAGTCGCCACTTATAATTGAGAGATAATAGAGGATGTCTCCCTAGAATTGCAAAGTAGAAGATCTCTTGGTCTGTGAGACAGTTGGCAAGTAAGTCCAATAGGGTAGGGTGGACGATGGTATTATTTGACGACGTGTCACTTTGGGTGTGCGGGGAAAAAGATTATTTTTAACAAATTATAACGATATATATATTTAAAGTAATTTTTTTTTAATTATAACAAAGATTTGATCCAGCTTTTGCTGTAAGGTAAATAAAAGCTTTGTGTACATTTTTAGCGCATAATTTCAAAAATGCCCAATTTTGAGTTGTGACTCTTTTGAAGATGGTGTGCGAACTGTCTTTCTCATCACAGTCTTACGAAAGACAAAAGAAAATTGTCAATTCTGGCAACTTTAATGAAAGCTCGCTTTTCTTTTCGAAGGACTAATTTAAAAATCTGCCAAAGAAGAGCGTTATTGTGTTTGTCTTTTAGCAAACCGTTTTATATAAATTAAAGTAAAGAAAATAAATATATATATTTCTTTCTTTTTAAAACAATAAAAACTGAACATTAAAAGAAAATTTAATTTAAAAAAAAATATAAAAAATAAAAAAAGTTTCTAAATTCTGAAAGGCTTAAACAAATTAAATTAAAAATAGGAAACAAATATTACTTAAGAAAAAGAAAAAAAAATATTTCTTAAAAATTAAATGAAATCAAAAAGTATACATTTTTCTTTCTAAAACAATAAGATCTATCGATAAAAAAAAATTAGTGAAAATAAGAAAAAACATTTGTTATAAAAAGGAAACAAAATTATTTTCTTAACATTAAATGAAATTAAAAAAAAACTTCTTTTTAACACAACAAGAGCAAAATATATAAATAAAATTTGATTAAAAAAGAAAAAAATTTAATTACAAAAAAATATAATGCATTTATTGTGGAACGATTTTCCGCCATCCCTTATCAAATAAAAAATATATAAAACAAGTTTTTCAAAAATGGATTAAATTCTGAAAAAATAAAATCTACATATTAAGAGAAAATATGTTAAAAAGTAATAAATTCCGCTGCCCGAGAACTCGAACCTCGGATCTCTCGAATAAAACATCAGTGCTTTTCCACTATCTTAGCCAAGATTGGCCTGTAATATATGTATATCGGCTGCTCTAGCATCCACAGAATGCAGTTATGCAATTCATTGACCCTTGATATTTCAAGTACATTCCAGCCACAAATCAACCTTCATTTAGTTATACCTAACTAATTTAACTAACTTGCGCAACAGATAGGTATTCAATTATGCAGCAAAAAGATAGCGTAAATTCGAGTTAATCAATACGTGCATATGTACGTATGTACATACGTATATACAAAAATATCGCATCCAAGTACAATTGCTTTTTTGTTCAAAAGGCCTTGAGCATTGAAAATCTAATACAACGATGATAATTGCCACGAAAGCCTTCAGTTTCATTGAAGAATTATTTACATACATACATTATATTAACCACTACATCGGAACCAATAGCATAAACAATAAGAAAATGTTTAAAACTTTGCACAGCACTTTTGCAGATGTCATCACTGCAAAGCTTCTCAAATTAACAAATTTGCGCTTTGCGCTAGTGGATCTAATGAAAGTGTAAAGTGAATATATATATATGTATACGTTAATTGCTTACAAACTAAGAACCTCAAGAACTGCCCTTCAAGACTCAAAATCTTTACCGCAGACTCTCAAGTTTCATCCCGAACTTATAAAGCTGACTCACTTGATTATGCCGGACCCAGAGAATGCGCTACGGAGATCTATATTACATCAACTTCCTGATCTGCGTCTTAAATATTGTGCGGCAGGACCGATTACTTGTCTAAAGGTATAAAATATCTCAGTTTCGGGTAAAAGAGGGATCCTAAAATCCTGGAAGAATCTGCTGCTGGAGCAGTTAGTGCAGAAACTTTACTCCAGGTTCGATGAGTTCATCTTCCAGGCCTACGCTGTACACTTCGGATAAGGATGACTGCGATTGGGTAGACAATCTTTCGCTCTGACGGAGCTTAGTTCGAGTGTGGGCAAAACTAAGAAACCGCCTACAGCCAAACAAGTTACGTCGCCCAGGATACGAGGATAGCTTAATTTTTCACTCCCACACCAAGAAAAAAGTCTCTGGAAGAGAAGCTTGTTTATAATGTCTGAAGGCATCTCAGTCTTTAAAAGGATGAAACCACAAGTGCGGTGAGGATTCGAAAAAGAAATGTCCTTAGAGTTCAGGAGCACACTAAAGACAGGACACTGGCATCCTCGAAAACAATCTTTCCTACGGATAGAAAAGGCAAAACTCACGATGTCCAAACTAGTTTGGCGATGATATGTGGCCATCTTTGGCTATCGAGATCAGCCGGCACTTCACCGTTGGACACTTTTTTATGAGGCTCCACTTTTGGTCATATTTACAAAAAAACCTCAAACTCTGAAGCCCTTTAAAATAAGCACTTATCAAGTCTCTAAAATAAGTATTTATCAAGTTCCTCACAAATTTTCACTCTTGTTCGTTAATGAGAAATTTTTGATCTTCTCTGAGAGTCAGGCAGCCCTGAAAGCTTTAAACTTACAAATATGCCACGCCAAGTCCCTTAATGAATACGGAACATCTATGAACAAGAACACTTATAGAGTTCTTGTCGTAGGGGTCATAAGTACACCGGGATATTGATGGTAATAGCAAAGTTAATGGCTTGGCAAAGAAAGTTGCGCCCACTACCAAACTTCCGGGAAATAGCGCGGCGAGTAAAAGAATAGCCACTTTTTTAAAGTCAGAACGGGCCTGTATTGGCATAAGTTTGTGGGGGTACTCTACTTACCAAACATGTAATACGGAATCGTTACCTAACTGAACTGAAAAATGGATTACCAAATATGATAGAGGAAGAATATTACCAATATTTGTAGTCAGTTAGTTAGTTAATTCTTGGGTGTAACTGAACAAGAAACACCGCGACCTGAAAGGCCCACCTTCGGCATATAATTTTGTCTTCCAAGGAGGCAAGACGGCATCTTTACGAACGATAACAAGAAGACTCTAAATCACCTGCTACAAGTAAATTTCTTAGGCTTTTCGTTGGAGCATAATCTGATGACGCGTGTCTGCTCGGAACACAGGAACAAGGAACGGTGGGCGGTAGAGTCTTTCGAACCCCTCAAAGCAGCTATTGTCATGGGATCTTCCCAGCATTCCACATTAGGGGGAAAACTAACACTTCCTCTCTCTTCCATCATCCACAATTTGCTTATGTCAAAGGGAAATCAATGGATTCGGCCTTACATCTCTTGTTAGTAGCTTTCGACAATACTGCCTATGGATATATATCAAGAAAATTTGTGCAAAGAGGCTTAGA